CAAGAGGTGAAAAGAAACAAAGTACAAAAGTAGCCTAATAAAAAAGTAAGTACTGTACTACTCAAGTACAACTTTTTGGTACCCAAAGTATAATTTTTCCTTTTTACTGAGTAGTGCAGAGTACTTTTTACTCCACTGCCTTTTAACAGGACTAAAAATTTAATTTTTCATATGATTTGAGGGGGTATTTTTAGTCCTGGTTTTGAGCAAGCAAAATATATACATTAAAAATCATATATAATGAAGATTACAAGACATCCAGGTGTGAAATATAGTGAAATATAGTAAGACCAGAAAGGCTCTTCCTCTTGAAGAAGCTGCTTGGTTAGCTGTTGATCCAGCGGTTCTAACTATTTGTGGCTATGTATGAAGAAATCATCACAATTCTTTGAAATATCACTACAGTTAACACTTTAGTAGTTCTCAAAATGTCATAGTTTTACTTTTTACTCTTAAATAGCATTTTAAAGGTACTTTTACTTAAAGCCACAGTATATAACTAAAACTAAAAGTGTTCATTTTGTGTTTAATGCACTGAAAACCAAAGTGTCTTAATGTGACTGGACTTGCATCTCCACAAATCTGACTCTTATTTGGCCTGTGGACCTCCTACTGCTTGTTGTTTCCATGGAAATGTTGTTCCTTTGGCTATAATCTTCCACAGTATGACATAAAACACAGCCATCTCTAAAATGACTAGTACCCGATGTGTTCCAATCCAGTCAGACAAATGGAAAAAGGGAAAAAGAAAATGCAGTCTATAAAGGATAAGGCACTGTAAATTGCATAGTGTAGTAAAGTGGCTACATGAGGAGGACCAGACTCATTGACAACATAAGTGTAGCCTACTTTTTCTGGATCATGCTGAAATTAAAATGTGTATTGAGTGTATTTCCTACATGTTTATATACTAAACAGTTGTCAGGGGGCACTATAGCCAAATGTCTTTAATTGACTCGGGAAGGTTGGAAAAGAGGACTATGTTAATATAAAAGCCACTGAAGTAAAAAGAAAACATAGGCCAACTGAGGTTATTTTAATAGGGAACACTTAATTAGGGCCTAATAAGAGCGCGATTGTCCTGCCAACAGCTTTCATAATCCTCTTATTTGTCACAAAAACGACATAAGCTACAACAGAAAAGAAAAGCTATATTATATTGTGCCTAATTAGGACACCGCGTGATCTCTGGTTACCTATTTCAGAATATTCCCCAGAGTAAACTTTTGCCCCTGTTACCTTTGCCCTACAAACATGACTGTTGATGCGTCACCTCATTGCCTCTGTTCTCGCGATAATTACACAATATAAATACGCCGCAGTTTACGTCGCTGCGTCCATCCACCTGAGGATTTGGAGAGTAAACACACAACTTTTGACAGCTCTTATTATTGGTGGTAAGTTTCACTTTGTAATTGTGCGTTTCTGTGTAGCCTTAATTTGACCGGAGTCTACTTTTTAATTTCCTTTTGCGAGAGCCTATCCAGATGTTGCTACTTTGATACGGAAATAAGGGATCTTTCTACAATCAAACCGCGACTTGTTACATCATAGTTGATTTTGGTGCTTTTCATATTCTGTGTTGTGATGCCATGTTCTCAAATAGAGTGGGTTTGGGTTCAAGAGCTACTTTTCTATAATAATTACACTGTATTCAATATAGTAAATACATATCTTTGGGGTTTTTACAAATGTTGAACCTGATCATTTCTTTTGGTGATTAGATTAGACATTAGACTTTAGGCATTAAGGCTATTCATCTGTATTAAATAGCTCTAAAGAAAGTCGTGTCCTCATCTAAAACCAAGCAAAAGAATTAAAAATAATGTGCTCTTTCTGTAGGCATCGTTTCAACAACAATGGCAGCCGGAGAAGTCATCTATAATCAGGTGAGTTCTTTTGTAATTGTGAGGATATTAAGCATAGTTACACAACAGACTGACGTGAATATAGTTTAAAACAATGACTTTCAATTTAAAGTACACCAACATCAGAACTATACTAGAGCTAAACCACATCCAGCTTCTTAAAAAAGTTTAAACATTAGCATTAAAATAGTAGGTATTGCAATTTATAAAAGATTTGAGCTTTATTTAATCTCGTTTTCTGTCCCCAGAGCCTGGTGGAGAGGGTGGTCAGCCTGCCTCTGGTCAGCTCCACATATGGCCTCATGTCCAGCGTGTACTCCAACACCAAGGACAACCACCCCTACCTCCGGACTGTGTGTGAAGTGGCTGAGCAGGGGGTCCGAACAATCACCTCTGTGGCCCTCAACACTGCCTCCCCCATACTGGACAAACTGGAGCCACAGAGTAAGTCATGATTGTAGAAAGAAACCAAATAGTTAGATAGATGTTTCTTCCAAGTGTTTAATAGTCCTAAGCTTTTAGATAATTTTACCCATGAAACTCGTGGCAGTAATACGCAACAGTAATAGGTGTAACTATTGTTGTAGCTGATGCAGTGGTAAGTAGAAAGTGACATTATGGTTGCAGTCACTCTTGTATTAAAATCCATGATCACTTCTATTATAGATAAGGCGTCTGAAAGAGTCATTTTTGAAGTAATAGTATTTTACGTAGTACACTTGTGAGTACTTATTGTCCTTCTAATAGAGAAAATAAATGCCAGCAAAAAGAAACAGTCATGTGACACACCCATGAGTCACGTGAGCAAACCAAAACTGAAAGATTGACCTTTCACCTAGATTAAAGGTGCATTGTGTAACTTTTTTGGAGGCTACGTCACTTTTTTTTTTCCCTTAAGGGAGTTATTTGCTTGGTATGTTCCGCAGTATGGCATTACAAGTCTAGAGTTGATTTTATTGTCGAGAAATACCTTCAATAACATGCATTATTGTGTGAACGGGCCCGCCTCTCCACCGAACTGATCTGTACCTTGGCCTGTTTGATACCAAGGAGACAGATATGGTTAATGCCTTACTGTGAAACATTCCAGGCTGATCAGTTTAGTACGTCTATGTGGAGATTAGCATGTGGTGTACGCTCCCCGCGAAAAGCTGAACAGTGCACCGTTTAGGATTATTCTGAACTGACTCATTCAATATGACAATGACTGTTTATTCTACACGTATAAACTGATTATTTCTTCTTGACCACAGTTGCCATTGCCAATGATCTGGCTTGTAAAGGTCTGGACAAGATTGAGAAAACCTTGCCAATTCTTCACCAGCCCTCTGAGCAGGTATGTACTGGAATAATTGCCCCATTAGCTAACACAGGATACAAAACCACTTAAGCAAATCTGAAACTGGATGATATTCTAGCATGGGCTTTTTCACAAATTACTCAATAATTCTTAACAAAAGTCCAAACCTCTCTGCCCAGATTGTGTCCAATGCTAAAGATGTAGTGACCAGTGCCAAGGATGTAGTAACAGGAACAGTGTCTGGGGCAAAGGACTCAGTTTCGGACACTTTGAACACTGTTGTGGAGAGGACGAGGGGAGCAGTGCATGATGGGATGGAGAAGACCAAAGCAGTGGTCAGCGGTAGCGTTAGCACCGTCCTGGAAAGCAGAGTGGCCCGACTAGTGACCAGCGGAGTGGACCAAGCCCTCAGCACGTCCGAAAACTTGGTGGAGCAGTATCTCCCGTTAACCGAGGACGAACTTGGTGAGTGTAAAGGTCATGACGCGACCAAAGTTTAGGTTGTGTACTTGATAAATATTTGACTCTGGTCTGATTATTGCTTTGATCAATCACAAAAAGGTTGTGATCTGAAAAATGATTATATTCTGTTCAGATTTGAGTGGTGCCTATTCTTCTTGTAAAACATGGAGTAATACCCCCTGTCATCATTATAGGGGCATAACGTAAATCAAAAAAAAAAAGTTTTCTTGCTCTTTAGGTTAAATTATTTATTCAAATTATAGTTTGTGCCATTCCTTACTGCCATGTTTTTACTTGACATATTTACTTTTCCATTGACCAGAAATCTTACATAAAAGCAGCTGCAATTTAAAATATTTAAATCCTAAATCATCATCATGCCAGGAAAAAAATCATGTTATTGTACTGTTATGAGAATCTGAATCTACAGAAGTGTTGCAGAAGCAGTTTTTAGTCTCACATGGTTGGGGCAAACTTACCTAGATATTACTTTTTGCAGTGCAAGTTTAAATTACTCAAATTAAGAACATTTAACTTGATTTGACTAGATTGAGTAGATGGAATAAGTATTTCTTTCTTGATTAGTTTCTAGATGAGATTTAGTTTCTTATTTTAATTGCAAGGAGTTGTGGTTTTCCTTATTTTTAGTGTAATTGGCCAGTTTCACTTTGTAGAAACCGTGTGACCTCGCAGCGTTCGAATTCATTTGCTCGGCGGTAGCTGGGTACTTTTTTTCATTTAACCAATCGTTGCTATTTGTTTGTGACGTATGTAACACGCTGCTAACAGGGCTAACTGGTATATTAAGCTTTTCCCACATATCCCAAATAAAATTCACAACATTCTCGTTATTCCAGCTTTAAATCCTCGATCTCAGGAATTGTTTACAACAGACTATATGACTCTTCGCTGATTGGTTGGTGCCCGAACTTGCACTTCCGGGGTTATTGTAAACCGTCTAGTGTATTCCGATTCCTGACCTAGTCGCTGAAGAGAAATGAAATTGAGTAGCGGCACTAGGTCTACTTGTCACGTGAAATTTAGTCAAAGAACATTTTACTTTTTACAGTGTATGAATCAAACGCGGTTTGTAGTTCGCTGATCCATATATTGATCAGTGAAATGAGACCTAATTCTGTTCTTGCTATACAGAACTGGAGGCCAAGATGGTGCAGGGGTTTGACAAGAATGATCCCGGTTACTGCCTCCGCCTTGGTTCCCTGTCCACCAAGCTCAGAAAGCGGGCCTACACTAAAGCTGTGTCCAAGATTCAGGATGGAAAACAACGCAGCCTGGAGTTCATTTCAGCACTGAACTCTACTGTTGATGTAGTAAGGTTTTAGGCTCTTTGAAGGTTACGACGATACGAAAATGTACACACAATTTTTGCAATGCCGTCTGAGCTGTATCATGTTACAAAACTATGCCGGGTACAAAGATTGTGTCTATTTGCTTGAGTAAATAAGTGTATTTGTACATTTTTTTAGCAAACTTTGCCCACCATTATCTAAATTTAGTCTCACCAATATGTTGTCATCAAAACCTTTTTACATGTGTTTTTGTAGATTGAATATGGCAGAAAGAATATTGATGGAGCCAACCAGATGGTAAAGGACAAACTCAACTCTATGGCGGTGTGGAAGTCCGATGGTCAAAATGAGCGCACTCATGAGGCAGAAGTAAGAAAAATGTCCATAAAAACGTAAGATTATCTGACAAAAAGTATAATAGACTAAATATTTGACTGTTTTTGCAGGTAATAGAATCTCGCACTTTGTCTATGGCTCGCTCTCTCACACACCAGCTCCAAACCACATGTCTGGGCCTCGCCTCAGGTCTGCAGGGCCTTCCCAATCACATCCAGCAGGAGGCACGTTCCCTCACCCACTCCGCCTCACAAATGTACTCAAACTTCAACAAGGCTAAAGTGTGGTCTGATTTGTCTGATAGTGTCTTGACCAACAGCAGGGCTCAGCTAAACAAAATGAGGGAATCACTAGATCACGTCATGGATTACTTGGTCAATAATACGCCTCTTAATTGGTTGGTGGGGCCGTTTTACCCTCGCTTGCCTCCTGAATCTAACGGAGCTTCAAATTCGGCCTCAAGAAATACAGAAACGTGCAAAAGTTCGTCTTATGGCTTTTCACCACAGAATGAGCAAATGGAGGTGGAGATGGAGTCCTTACAAACAGAGCAGCACTAAATGTTTTATCCTGTATAATCACTGTATTAACTTAAGTGCTTTCTAGTTTTTATTCTGATGTAGAATGGCTTTTAAATGTCGACGTTTACAATTTTATATTTCTCCAAATAGACCAGTTACACTGAAGAGATCCTATTTTCTTTAAAGGTGCACTGTGTATCTTTTCTGGCAGATTTGTGACAGAAATGTGCATGCTTTTGTGATAGTTTTGAGAAATAAAAACACCTGTAATTGAAAAAATAAATTATATATTTGTTTAATGCCACACTGTAGAACATCCTAGGCAAAGCAATAAGATCACCATAGCAACAAGAAGATGGCGGACCCTCCACCAGAAAAGTTACACAGTACATCTTTTATAGATTACAGCAATGAATCACAGTGCATAGCCTGCATAATGGATTCCAGAAAACTTTGATAAACTAATACAAACTTTATTAACTTTTTTTAAAACACATTGTAAAAATCAAAGCAGACATTTTGTCATTTTTGGCAGCGACTTGACAGATGATCCATTAAAGTCTGAAAAGAAATATTTTAGTGTTCTGTGTTTTATTGTTATTATTATGTTTTAGAAGTACAACAAAAGATAAAAGTACATGGCTTACTGTTAGTTTCTGGATTTGACACCAGGCTACTTCATCTAAAAGGTCCAAGTTTATGTCATCCTTAGTCTCCTCTGAAAAGCAAACAGACTGGAGAAGAAAAGTAGCATTAGTGTCTAAATAAAGTAAAACACCAACTTCATATTAAGACAAATCACATTTTGAAATCAACTACATTGGCCACATTCTTGTTTAGATCATTTAAATTGTAAAATGGACCAGAACTAGTATTTCTCTTCATGCCAATTACTAAAATGACTATAATGATCAATAATAGATTAAAGAGGCAGCTTTTCTGATGAATATGGAGCCACCAGAATACACTAATTCAAAACTTAAATCTTGAAACCATTTGCAAGAATTCATTACTTTAAAATAGTCAAGACAATGCTGTAAATGGGCATCTCTTAGGCTCTTACCCGCCCCTCTCTCGTGGTGACCGTAATGTGAGCAGATGCCCCAACCATAGAGCACTGCATGTCACCAGCTGACATCACCGACCTGGGATTCAGTATTAGATGGTTACACATTTCATTCAGAAGAAAATCTAATTCAGCTGATCAAAGTCTCATGAATAAAAAGGCATAAAAACAGACAAAAACACAAAACTACTGATAAATGCAACATCAAGATCAACAACACACACGCAGATATATTTAAAGATAATAATCCCGTTTTAATTACAACAAACCTACCTGAGCTTTGGTTTTGTCGCTGAATTTTTATCACCGATCTTCATGCTTTCTGTTCTTTTGATTGCAGCGGTCCTAGTGGAGGCAGAAAATGTATTCACTTGGATATAGAATAGTGGAACAATTTTAGTGCCATACTGAGGAATATTCCAGTCAAAGCAACACAATATCTCAATGGAGACAAGCAGGTAGCTGACCTCAACCAAAAAAGTTACATAGTGCCCCTTAAAAAAGTTAATATAAGCCTACCTTAGATTTCCAGTGCTGATAGTCCCAGGTAACGTTCTGGTCCTCGCCCTGGTATTTTTCCCTCCCTGAACAATAATTAATTAAAAGGGCAGATTTCCTTATAGTACTGTCATTCATATAATGGAATCATGGGCCCTACCTTTGTCGTCCTGCCTTTTGCAGCAAGAGCGGCTTGTTCAGGTACAGAGTCCGTTGATTTTACTTGAAATACAAAAGCACATCATTAGTATTTCTTTTAAAAGGAGCAATGTATGTTTTTTCTGGTGTTCCACAGTATTTCATCAAACCTATCTCCATGTAAGCCACCATGGCAGATCTGTGGAGAGGTGACCCACTTCACAGCAAGAATATTTTTTTTTTAGCAATGAAAACAGCAATAAAGATGTAAATGAATAAATGCAAGATACACTAGATGCATATTGTGGAACATTCAATACAAAGGAATAAACATGGAGACGGTGTACTGTGTTTTTCATTCTACAGCTCAGTAAAAAACGTTCATTACTTACATCTACTTCTGGCTCGTCTTTGTGGTTGTTGTAGTTCATTAGTCTCATTCTGAAAGTCACAGAGCGCCTGTCATTACACGATCGGCCGCTAGGGGGAAATATGTTTATGCCACCGTACCTTCATAGCAATTGACACATCACTTGCTGGTAATTCCTTCGCTTTTAGCAACACAGTGACAGAAATCAATACATTTAATAAGTCTAAATAAAAAAAAAAGAAAAATGTTCAGGCTTACCACTTATTAAATCGCCCATTCGCATATTTTTAAGAGAAGGGGGCATTTTCATCAGTTCTACCCTAAAGACTTTATCGATTGTGGCCAGCATGTTTTCCATTTTGCCCTCTAGATCCCTCATTCGCTCTTGTGCTGCAAATTCAACAGTTATTTTAATGCGATGGAGATGGTAAACACTTCTCATCCTCGCGCGTACAAACCCTCTTTCTCAAACTGCTGGATAAACAGAGCCAGTCTGTTTCTGCGCATCTCCCGGTCCGGATCCTCATTTTGGGGGGCTGGAGATTTTTTGACTCGTCTTGGCATGTTAATGAATTTTAGCAAACAAAAGTATAAGTTTTGAGGAGTTTGGACAGATTTTCACGAGCAGGAGGATGGAGAACCAATGCCGAAGTCATCAGGAAGCAGGTGCAACTTTAAACAGGTGCACGAAATGAACAGCACAGCAAAGTAAAAATAAATAAATAAATAAAATAAATTTAAATAAATTAAATACAAATAAAATGCAATAAAATAAAATAACATAAAAATAAAAAATGTGCACAATACTGTATAGCCTTTATAGCCTTTATATCATCTAGCCTCTATATGTGTGTGTAGTGCATACGAGACTGGATGTTACAAAAGCTACAATACAAAAGCTGAGATTTTATTTATTTATTTATTTATGACGTGTACATATACATTTACATACTGTCTCTTGCAATCTTTTTTTTTTTTCACTTATTTAGAATTTGTCATTAAAATTTTTCTTCTCTTTGTGTGATATGTCAGTTACTGTGTCCAAATACTTTCCCTTATGGATCAATGAAGTTTGTCTAGTTTAAGTCTAAAACAAATTATGGAACAGAATATATTTTCATCATTTTATGCTAATTAACAGATGTACATTAGTAGCAGAAGTTGTAATAGTAGCAGTAGTAGCAGTCAGAGGTGAGGACTTGCAAGTCATGACTTAAACTCAAGTCAGACTTGAGTCACAATTTTTAGGATTTGAGACTTTACTTGATAAACTGGACTAAGACTTGGGACTCGACTTGGACTTGAGGCCTGTGACTTGAGAAGACTTGAGAAATACTTTTAGATCTGAATTCTTTCTATTCTATGATTCACACTAAGATCTTCTAAAGATATTTTAAAAAGAAAAAAATAGATTTCTACAACACTTGCATACTCTCTAAATACTAATATATAAATAAACTGTACTTAAAAATCATAGTATATCTTAAAATTCATATAAATTGCAAAAAAAAGTTATATCTGGTACTTTAGTTTAAAGACTTGAAATGACTTGAAGCTCAAAGCAGACGACTTGGACTTGACTTGGACTTATGGGCCAGTGACTTGAGACTCGACTTGGACTTGCCTGTATTTGATTCAGGACTTGACTCAGACTTGAGGTCAAAGACTTCAGACTTACTTGAGACTTGCAAAACAATGACTTGTTCCCACCTCTGGCAGCAGTAGCTGTTGTAGCAGTAATCCTCCTCATCAAAGCAACAGAAAGAGTAGGTTTTTGTACATATTAATCTGTTGACCTACAGCCTGGTTCTATGTAGCAGAAGATTAATTGCATGCTTTCCAATCTTGATCAATTGTAGCCAATAAATAGTTTGTGTCTTTGGAGTGAACTTGTCAACACGATGGTCATTTAAATTCATTCCACTTGTAGTAGCAATAATAAGAAGGTAATATTGGTATTATACTGATGTCCCTTAGATAAAGAGTCTGAGTCTATGTACAATTACCATTGTATGAGGCACAAGAAAAAAAAAAGTAAAAATAAGAAAAAAGATTTACACACAGTAACTCAACAAATAAATTTATTGCAGCGCACTTGTAGACTGTCAATTTCTCTCCACAGGACGGTAAGAAACCACTCGAGTTATTGTTACACAACAGATTTCTGTACATCCTCTCCCAAAAAGAGGCAGTAGGCTACAGGGTGGCATCCCTTAAAAATGTTAAAAAGAAAAGTGAGAACATAAAATAAAAATCTAAAAGCAAAAATCTAAATTGACAATGTCTGCCATTCAAATATCAACAATACAAAAATAAATAGATTTTTTTAGGTTTTGGATGAGAAAGAAGTATATTGATAATTCTGATGTGGTCTAGATTCTAGCCACAGAGGACTCTGACATTTTACATTTTACAAGACTTCATCTGTACAGGTCAGTGTTTCTATCCCATATTTAAAACATAAGACCAATCTCCCCACATATGCAGCTTTTGTCTGTGTCCTTGTATTACATTTAGTATTAATGGAATGTCAAACAGTTTAAGTACTAAATTCTTTAAACATCATACCAAGGTTTCTATGGGTTACTGTAAGCCAAAATGTACATTAATTCTATGATATTGATAGGCTGACATTAAAGGACCAAATCATTCTATTTGTTATAGTACATGAGCCATTAATATTATGAATTTGATCAGAGAATCAGTCATTGTCAGTGTGCAATTATGTAAAAAACGATCAATGCTTAAGACTTGTAGACATCTGGAATGGTCTATAATTACTGGATTAATAGAAACTGTGATTGTCCCAGGTCCTTTGCTCTCTTGTGCTGCAAATATATTTACACAGATCCAGGTGTCATTCTTCAAAAATATTAAGATGAAAACCAAGTAGACAAGTTGTTCAGTTCTGACAACCTTGGTTTAAATTTCCGTCCAGTAAAAATATGTACAAAGAAAGTTTTAGAAAGTGCACAACTAGAAGAGTCTATACAAGGTCCACAGCTTCACACCAATCTGACAATTTAAAATGGTGGACACACACTTAAGAGGACCCTTAGGACAGCGAGTATATCTGAAAATGAATTTTTACAAACCATATATACATGACAGAAGTCCCAATAGAGTTTCTGCTACATTCCAAGACAAAAAAACTGTCCCACTTGTAGCTTGGAAAACCACAACAGAAGATTTTTAAAAAGGCAGACAATGGGCATCCTCTTAAAGTCCAAAAAGGGTTTAGTACCATTTAGGTGTCGTAGTTTTCTCTAAATCCTTTGTTTAGATGAATGGGGCTCCGAAGCATTTGAGACACCACTGGACACTGGGACTGGGTGGTCGGTCGATTCGGTGCAATGTTTTGAGCTGTTCAGGGCTGAGCTCATCATAGGCTGAACGGTACTCTCTGTCAAAGGCCTCTGCACAGCAAAAGTTACAGAGAAAAATCACCTTTTTGTGCACATACACAGATAAAATAGAATTTAAAGGTGCACTATGTAACTTTTTTGGTAGATGTTATTGCTTTGAATGTTCAACAGTACAGCATTAGACTTGTGTAGCTTACATTTAAACCATTACAGACGTGTTTGTGCTCAAAATTACATTAAAAACATGTATTCTTACTGTGAGTGGGTTTGCCTCTCCCCAGATCTAACCTGTAAGTTTACCTGACAGCATCTCCATGCTTGTCTCCATGGATCTTGACACGTTTAATGCCATACTGTGGAACTTTCGAGACAAAGCAATAACATCTCCATGGAGTTCATTTCTAACTTAATAATATCTACACTCAAATAGCTTTAAGTGTTATTCATGGGTCTCAGTAATAAAAAAAAAAAGACAGGATTGTTACCATGGTGGTTGACAATTCAAGATAAATATATATATTTTTTTAAAATAAAAGTCCTCTAAAACAAACCATTATGGAGAAACATATAACTTGCATTTACTTACCAACATCAATGTTTTCTCGCCCCAAAGCCACCAGTGAGAGAAAGAGGATTTCTCTATAGACACTCCTGTAAATACAAATATAACCAGTTAGTTACAGTTATCCAATCCACTTTATTTATAAAGCACATTTTACAAACAGTTTCCAAAGTGCTGCATAAATACATACTAATAACAACAATAATATAATGATAAAATAAACACTCAGATTTAATCACACAATAAAACCAGGAAAATAAAATAAGAGCAAAACCAGAGAATAGCAATAAATAAATAAAACCAATAAAATAAATTACAAATAAATAAAAGACATGGAGGACCACACAACTCAAGCCAGAGAATAAAAGTGGGTTTTAAGACGAGACTTAATACATTCCACTGTGGGGGCTGTTCGAACTTGGGGGGGGCAGAGCATTTCTGAGCTTATGGCCAGCCACAGAGAAGGCCCTAAGCAAAGTTATGTAAATTATGTAAATGTTGAAGTGTGATATATTGCTGAAGTAAATATAGATGATTATAAAAAATATTGTGAAAGACCGACCTTTGCCGCTTGACTCCTTCTGGGCGCCTCTTGATTTCTCGGAGCAGCAGATTGATTGGGCCATACACGTCATTGGTTTGAATGTTGCGAACAATTGTGTTGAGGAGGGTCCGGATTTCTTGGTGATCAGTTGGAGCCAGAGTTCCCTTTTTCTCCACTAAAATCATCAGAAAAACAACTGTCAGGGTCTCAACTATGATACTTGTCTGACCTCTTGTGAGTAAACAAGGAATTGCAACGTGTATTAAATCTATGAAACTAAATGAGCTATATAACCCAAATCAAAACACACTTACAAAAGGATCTCCACAGAAGATAGAGTGGATCTCCTGGTTCTTGATGCAAATTGACATTGTCCCAAAGAAGTTGTACAAACACTTGTTTACTGTCCTGGGATAGTGATGTCAATGGAAGCTGCAAAACACATTTTAGCATTATTACCAATATCTAAACAAGATTAATTTTAATAATATAGGTTTTGTTTCCATACCTGGACTCCATTGTTGCAGTGTTCAGAGGTAAGAATGAGGCCGGGCAGGTGAGTGGGCAAATCCAGCCGACGGAAATACCAAACCAGGTTCCAGAAGATGATTGGATGTTGACTCAGGAATTTGTGTGTGTAGATAACCTAAATGGACAAACCAAAAGTCAATATCCATGGGTTTCTGAATGATAAAAAATTTGAGCTATTGTCATGGCAACTGGCAATTTTAAACTAAATAATATATCTTTTGAATGGGAAAAAATGCTTAAAATGTTGCATATAACAGGAAGGTGAAATAGAATAGATAGAAAAGTATGCTAAAGTGAGTTGTTTATCTGATCAGCCAGATCCACACACTTTGACAAACCTTTACAAAGACGAGTGGATCTGGAGCTGTATCCTATCTCTACGATTTCATAAGGCGTGATTGACAGGCAGATTAACCACTGAGAGAGGGTTTACACATAAAAAAAACTACATAAAGGACAGAGAAACAGCGTGGATCTTTATGGAATCAACAATCAAAGCACCAAACTATTATTTATTTCAGGTAAAAAAAAGTTATATATTTTGTTCTGAATATTATGAGAATTTTGGAGAGGAGATGTCTACAATGTCAAGCTACAAATGAGCAGCTGTGGTTTGGATAGAGGTTTTTCAAGTTCTATCGTATCTATAGTAATGTAGATGGGACTGGCTGATCAGGCAAGCAATATTTGTGGTGCCACAGAAGTTTGTACCTGATCTCCCTCATTTTCCAACAATGTTTCCAGCTCTTTCCGCAGAACTAGCGGACTCAGATATGGGACAGACACAGGTTTGGGATTGGGTCGTTTTGTTCCCATACCATCCTGCACACATAGTCCAAAAGTTAGTCATTCTTTCCTTGAAACATTTTCTTTTTCCTTTTTGGTACAACAGTAAATCCTTACCGACACTTCCTGCAGACTGGAGGGGAGGCTGGTTGTGGATACACCGTGACCAGGTCTCTGAAATGAGTCAAGGCTCTGGAGCGGACCCCCAACACTGTTACTGCGAGTGAGGGACGTGCTGCTACACTTGGGCTGCTTCAGTGGCGCCTTGTTTTCCAGAAGACCGAGGGGGTCTGACTGTGCTGGCTCTGGGACAAGACTACAGACGCAACAACACACATGAGTTTAGTAAAAAGAAATAAGCTTGTTACTGAGCCTAAAATGAGTATCTGCTAGTTTTAATATTGATTAGAATCTGGATATGTTTTTTTTAACAACCTTAAAAGGAAAAAATAGCGCATTTTTGGTGAGGGCGTCAGTCACCTGCTTGTCTCCATGGAGATCTTATTGCTTTTCTTAAAATGTTCCATGGTATACCAGAAAACACATCTACCTAGCATTTATTCATTATGGGTTTTTCTATTGCTCAAAAATACAATAATTCTCTCTTTGCATAGTGTTGCCGCCCCGCAGGTCTGACCTTTAATGCTTGTTTTTATAGATATGGCAAAGTCTAATACCATATTGTGGCACATTCCAGGCAAAGCTATAACATCTCCATGGAGGCAAGTAGTGAGCAAACCCTCCACCAGAAAAGTTACACTGTGAATCTTTAAAAGTGTCAGTTCTATTTTCTGTCATCTGTTACTTTTTATCCATTCAATGCAGAATATTTTACAATCCAAAATCCTTTCACACTTCACGCTTCTGAATCTTTACCTCTTGTGGGTCCCGGGCTTGTCACCAGGCCTCTCCTCAGACTCGTCCTCCGGAAACGACATGAGGTCCGGGGCCTTGATGTCCGCTGTGCTGCTGGTGGTGGGCTGTGTGCTGGAGCTTTGGATGCTCTCTGCAGATGCACTGGGATTCATGTAAAAGCTGAAATGATACACAGTACTTATGTGCTACTGATATGTGTAATCCTTTGTGCTATAAATAAATCTGACATAGACATACTCATTTTATATAGACCAATGGTTGATGCCACAAAATATACATGGGAACTTGGCAAAAAACAATGCTAGTCTTGTAATGTTTTGTGACTCATGTTTTCAAAGCCACGGTACAAAATAAAGTTTCAAATTTTAGTATCATCACTAAAAAGGTCTTTGGTATTCCCCTTTGATCAGCAGTACCTGGATGTGCGTAGATCATGAAACTCTATGTGCAGTAAAGGTAGGAAGGCGGTGCGACAGAAGGGGCAGTTGGTGTTGAGATTGGAGTCGTCCGCGGTCCATCCTGCCATGATCTCCTCGTCATAAACCAGAGCCTCGCAGCTACGGCACTGGGAGCAACTGGACATAAGAACCTGAAAGAATAAAAAACATGAGTCATATTGATCCTGGCAGCTACAATGTGGTTTGGTTTAACAAATGAATGAATGAATTTTCTGACCTCAAGAGCAACATTTTGGAAAATGCTGGAGCAGGATGCATGGTGTGAACCTTGATCAGAGTCAAGTCCTCTGCCTCGACCTGGAGTTGGATCTAAAATGAAAAAAACAATAATCAAATCAAAAAGTTACACATATAGCTCTTTTTTAGTTTTTTTCGGTCTCTTCTTTCCTGCCATAGCTAATGTAGAACTGTGATTTTACAGGTTATTCAGCCACATGTCCTTCCCGTGTCTTGCCCAAGGGAACAAGATTAGCATGTACTTAGATGAGGTTTGTATAAACTAACTACAAATAACACTACTAATACTAATAATCATATATTTTAATCTGTTATCGATTATTATGATTTCTATTTTTTATTAGGCCTACTAATTACAATTGGCTTTGTTAGCCATTTTTTCTGAAAACATCTTAAACTCACTGCAGCCCTATTGCCCCAGTTGATGGGTTTCAGAATGATGAGGAACTAGGACCATTGCCATAGTGATTAACAATTAAAAAACAAAATATTATATCTTCTGAATGGGCAAAAAGTCCCTAGCTGAAACCCAAGAATATTTATACAGCAACGCCCTCCTTAAATTTCCGGTATTATAATAGGAGACAATGATTTACGACATTAAGTATGGTATTATTAGTATATTAAAGTATAAGTATATTAAAAATAAAGGGATCTTACGTGTTTGCTGTGTTCCTCGGCCCGTGTCGCTGCTGCCACTGCTGCTGCCCAGACTCGTGCTGCTCTGGTTCAGACCATTAGAAACCAGACCCGGGATAGGACCTCGCTCGGGGCTTTCATCCACATCATGAGGAGACAGCATGTTTTCATCGAGGTGAGCAGGGAAGCCCCCAGCGTGCCCCTGTTCGTCCTACAGAAAAATAAAACATTAAAATCATATAAAAGACAAATTATATATTTAAATCAGTAAATTAAATATTTGCAATATTTAGAAATTGCAAAAACAGACTAATTTGGTCTCTTTGAGTTCTGTCATAATCTGAGGAGTTTTAAGTCTTGTCTTCAAATCCACTTTTATTCTGCATGAGTTGTTTGGGCCTTTGTGTCTTTTAGTTAATCTAGTAATTTTTAATAGCTTTTACCTTTTTATTTATTGGTGTTTTTGCCCTTATTTGATTTTAATAGTTTTGTTGTCTTAATGCAGTCAAGTAGAGTTTTTTTTGTTTTTTTTTTTTTATTCTCATTGTATTTTTTGATCTGTATTATGCAGCACTTAGGAAACCATTTTGTTTATGATATGTGCTTCGTTTAAAAAAAGTGAATTGGATTGGGCATTTCTACCTCATTGTCAGTTTCTTAACAATATTAAAATATCATATAGTAGTGTTGATATATTGATAATACCATAACAGATTTGGTACACCTTACATTTCTAGTCAGTAGCCATTTTGTCTAGTCTTCAGGTATTGGCTCACCTCATCGTCTGAGTAGGCATAAGCTGAAGCCACTGCTCCCCACACTTTGCTGGCTACCGTCGCCGCCTGCTTCATGCTCGATTTGAAAACATCCATTTTGGGCCCAGACAGAAGCGTATCCATTTTTATCCCTGAAAATGTGTTGATAACAGACCCCAGCGAGCCTCCTTGTGAAGACTTAACCAGAGCAGTTAGAGAGGCCGAACGAGGGGTGGGACTTCCTGTCGTGCTGGATGGTGTTTTTGTCTTAACGGCAAAAGTCTTGGATCTGGTCACAGTGTTGGGGCTCCTTTTTGGGGTGTCACCTGGGGACCCACTGGGAGTTTTGACTTGAGGAACTGGGAGACTGGACCTACGCTCTAAAGTCTGTTTGCTCTGTGGAGAGTCTATGCTGTCCTTAGGCGGCTGCTGTAGGTCCATACTTGAAGATTTTACAGTTAGAGGACTTTGTAGGCTCATGTACATCTCAATCTCTTCAGCTAGATTTCGAGATACGATGACAGGAACGGTGCGTGGGTTTTCCTGGCTTGTTACTGAGGCAGATTCTTCACTTTCAGACACTAGTCGTGACAGCGGATCAGCTCCAACTTCGACATCTTCCCTCTCTAAAGTTGCTGCACGCCCAGCTGCATCATCGTCTTGTATTTGCTTGTTTTCTTCTCCCTCTTCAATCTTCTCTTGAACTTTACTCCCATTGTCTTGGTCTTTCTCTGTTTCGGCATCTTCTGCTTGTTTCTCTTGTTCATCTTCTGGCTCCTCCTCTAGGTCTTTAAAAAGCGCTTTTGAAACAGTGTGCGGTGGGGGGCTTTGGCCAGTAGAGAGTGCTGCAGTCAGAATTCGCGCATCTGCTCCCATCTGGCTGGCCATGTGATCCACGCCTTTCTCCAAAAGCATCCCCGCTCTAGTCTCTGCACTGAAACTACAGCTGCGTTCTGAGAAGGTCTTTTGTCTCTGCTTTTGGGCCTGAGCATCGGAGGAGTCATCGTCAGGGAGAGATACGCTGTCTGATTTACTGTGCCGCCTAAACAGTTTTCCTGTAGAAAAGACAACAAAATTAGAAACATGTTAAGAAAAAAAAGATTTAGACCCAAAAGACCCAAATTTTAAGTAGTACCCCACTTAATCAGGTCTAATTAACAAGCATTAAATCAAGTCAGAAACGTGTCAAACTTGGATTAAAACCAGAACAAAACCAGGTGCACTGAGCAACTTTTCCAGTGGAGGGTCTGCCACCTGCTTGTCTCCATGGAGATGTTATTACTTTGCATGAAATGTTCCGTGGTATAACATTAAACATATAAATCTAGCATTTATTCATTACAGGTGTTTCTATTGCTCAAATATTCAGTAGTTCCTTCTGTGAACAGGGGTGACGCTCCACAGATCTGAACTGTAGTGTAGCGTAGTGCTGTAACCGGCTTGTGACCCTTGTGATAGGAAGGTTTAATCTATACTCTGGAACATTCTAGACAAAGCAATAACATTTCTATGGAGACATCAGGTGGTAAACGTTCCACCAGAAAAGTTACGCAGCTCATAACTAAACCTAACGCTACATATTTCAATCAGCAATGATAGCAGCTCACACTTGACCAATTGGACCAACACTACCAATTAAAATAGCAAATTTCTACAAATAAACATGTGAATTACCTGTTTCTCTGCCCCCATCGAAACTCCCAGTGGATAGTCGGACAATACTCGCAGCAGGTGCATTCACATCTTTGGGACTGGGAGGTTCATTCACTGCTACTGCACTGTCCACTGAGCCAGCAATGTCTCCTCCTGGATGACAAAACAGTAACATTTTACATTGACATTTCAAAATAATCTTAATAATTCAAATGTTATATAATACACGTTTGATTACCAGTGTGCTGTGATTTGTCTTGGCTTATTCCTTCAGTGGAAAGTACAGCTGTATTTGACTCGGCCAGTTCTTGATGTAACTCGTCTTTAGAGCCATAGCCTTGATCAGAGTGCTGACCTGCATTGGAAAAACTGTGTAAGCTAATCCGTCTTCATTAGAAGTAATGTAATTTTGTGAAATAGAAAACATGTTGAGTCAATGCTGGATGGATAAGTGTGATACTATACTGTGGAACATTCCAGGCAAAGCAATAAAATCTCCTTGGAGTAAAGAGGTGGCACAAGACCACCAGAAGTAGTGCACATTTAAAAAGCAAATTTATTTTAAGGCTTATTTTCCAACCTGTGTTACAGTTGTCTGCAGTGTCTTCCAAGCTGTGACTATGAACAAAAACATTGTCTACTCCATTGACTTCACTGGAGCTGTCCGCACTGCCATGGCTCAACCGGTCCGCATCTCTGATTGTTGAGCTAACAACGTCTGCAGATAAAAATACATTTACATTTTAGCAAAGGTTTGCAAAAATAATTACAAAATAATAAAATTAACTGCACTGAGATATAATTTGCACCTGAAGTGCTGAGTGTAGTTCCCTTCTTGGTTGAAGTGAGATCCACAGAGTGCTTGAACTGGGCAACTCCTCGTAGTACGTTTCGGAGCTTGGTCCACATAAACTGACCACTGCGGTTTCTGCTTGGCCATGGGCTTTCCAAAACAGCCTACACAGACAACAAAACAGTGATTTGAGCATTGCTTATTTTTATAATTTTTATTTATTAAACATCGCTGATAAGGCTTATCAGTTTTTCTACTAATAGTTTGTACAAGATCTCTATTGAGGTTAGGGAATGGCAAACAAAATTTATGCGAGGAAAAAAGGCATGTGAAAGCATCTTTAAAACTGCAGTGCTTGTGGACTGTAGTGGTTTGGCAAAGGAGAGAACCCCATAAATAAGTGATGGTTTGTATATAAGAGACTAGGTCTGCATATTGGACAAGTGGACATAAAAACACAGACAGCCTGTTCTGGGCAGGTTAAGCCGTGCATTCATTACCTTGTTGTAGTATCCGTATGTGATGGCATTAGGATGTACTCCAGCCTTCTTCATCTCTACCAGCACACGCACGGCCATCACAGGGAGGCCCCAAACCCCACAGAGCTGCATGACTACTCTGTAACACACCTGCAGAAAGCGGAAAGAAGATGAAATAGGATACAACTTTTTTTTTATTTCACAGAAGAAGGCAGCGTCCTACATCAAGTGTGCCTGAACTGAAGAGCAGTATTGGTTGTAACAGTAGTAGTAATAGTAGTAACAGTAGAAGGTTGTAGTAGTAGTCCAGACTTTACCTCATCCAGCATCTCCACCTCAGTGGTCCTCATCTTTAGGAGCACATTGTAGGCCTGCTGCATAGCTCTGCTTTTGGACTTGGACAGTCGTACAGCCGCTGGGAGACAGATGAACCACAGGCTGTAGCAATGACTGAACAGGCAGCGAGCCCACAGCGGGGGGTTTGAGTAGAAACGCTTTGCCATCTTATAAGCCAATTTGATTTCCTGTTACAACAAACAGAATGTCATGAATCAGATGATAAACTACAGTAAAGTTATAAAAATGTGATTTACAGATTTTTCCAATAAATTTGACCTGTTCTAAACTTTCTGAAAAGATCTGCAGGAAACAGTGCAGCAGGGTTCTCACATCATAAACCAGGGCAACTGTCATGAACTTGTAATTTTTTTTTTTATCGTGGACAGCATCATTTGTGATTTCAAAAACAAGCTAAAGCATATTGCACTGTTAGAATCACTGTCAGAGGTCTCACCTGTTTGGTCCTCTTGGCCAGGAGGGCAGGGCTGCTGGACAGACTGGCCCCGGCTGCTCTGGTGCTGAGTGCAGGCCGGAGCTCTCTGGGACGGTCAAATAGATCTATATTTAACCTGGGGAATCCTTTGTAACTGCAAGAAATGAAAACGTATATATTAAGTGCATAATAATAGTATATTTTAATGCCTTTTTATAGACTATTGCCACTCTAAGGAAAGCAGCTATAATGCTACTCAAAAATAGTTAACTGATACAATTTTGATCACGCTTATAACTTTGCAATTCCTCTTTGAAGTATAGTAAAGCATATGCATGAACTGGTTATGTTGCATCTGATAGCTAATTCACATATATAATTATCCACGTTTCTAATATTTGCATGTCCTGACATGTGCTGCTGATCGATTAATACACAAAAAAGGGGGCAAAAGCTCTCAAAACTATTACGCATCTAGTAAGTAACATATTTATATAAAGACAGATTCAACTTGTGAATCATGAGTTTAAACCGTCTTTTTATATATATAAATCAAGGAGGAAGGCCACTTTTGTCCTTCCTGACCCCTCCCTTCCCCAGAACTGTAACATCTCAGCACATTAACATGAGCTCTCTTGTATGTATGGTTGTTATGATCGATTGATTTTATGTATACCTTTAATTATGTAACTCTGCTACTCTCCCTGCCTTTTAATTGCCCCAAGAGGATAAATAGTGATTGAACTGAATTAGTTTGATCTTCACAGAGTAACTTTTCCTTCCTGCTGTGGTAACATATATTTAGTTTTAGTTTAGTTTATTAATTTAATTTAACAGGGACCAGGAACACATTAATCTTATAAATTTAGTTAAAGCTATTTTCCATCTGCAGTCCCTGGGTAGTTTAACAAACAACACATCCAATGATGTAGATTGATCAAATGACATCCAAGTATCCATCTATTTACAATCAAACCATGCACTCTCCCTTTCTTTCATTTAAAAACATTTCAATCCACATTTACACATTTAAATTATTTAAATACAAGTCAGAGAACATATAAGACAACAGTAAAATGAAGTACATGCAAATATAAATCCTAATAATGTAAAAAATAAAAAAATAAATAAATAAAATAAAAATGTTGGTCAACTAAGCAATAACACAGTTACAATAAATCTTACATGTATCTCTGAGCTGGTTCAGATCCGTCTTCTGCTGGAGGCTCAGGAGGCATTACAAACACAGTGTGCTCACTCTTCTGAGACTCGTCCAACTCCAGCAACTTCGTGTCCTCAGAAGACTCTGCCTCAACCTACAGTTAAACAACAACATTGTTTAAACTTGTATAAATAGTATTAGGGACAAAATGTACTATGCAAAGGAATGTTTTTAAGAAATGTCAACTAAGGAAAGGTGTATTAATGTAGTCCTGTCAAAATACTGTGTTTTAGTGAGTGGAGATTAAGGTTGCTTTCAGACCTGTCCTTGTTTGGTTCTGGTTTTAGGACAGTTTAATCCTAATGTAGGTATGGTTTGGTCCTGCTCTACTCTACTCTACCCTGGCCTAGTCCTAGTTTAGTTCCTGGTTCAGTTCTAGTTTAGTCCCAAGATCTAGAGCCATTAGAAAATAAGTCTGGCATGAAAATTACTATACTGATCTATTGTTCAATATATGAAAGTGGGAACAATACATTTTGGGGCTTAGTAGTTATCATGTGTACATATTATTGGCCAAAGTGAGGAGATTTGGGGTATTTTTGTTGTAATACAATAAGATTTCAACTGTAAAGGGCTGAATAACTAACTTTTAAGGCTAATTTTTGATTTTATTTATTTGTTGTAGCTCATGAGTTATACAAATACTATCCATTTAAAAAAAAAAGGTTTTATTTTGCATTATTTTTTATTGTAACAGTGGCATAAAGTAGTTTCAGTATTATCGTTTATTGCAGTATAACTATTCAACAATATATCATGCTTCAAAATGTGTGACAGGCCTAATTAGAAAACCATTAAGAAAAAACTTTCCACAGTACTTGACATTTAAAATGACTGTAGGCATGCTCATTGATTGATTATGATTGGTGGAAGTAATGCAGGAACAATCATTATGAGAGGAAAATATTAGTCTAGAAAAAATAAAAATGGAAAAGGAAATTGTGATTACAGAATTAGCCATTACCTTGGTGCCTTTGTCGGTGATTTTATCAGAAGGAAAAAGCTGCGAGGAGAGGAAAGAGCAGAGGAACAGACTGAATCAAAGGAAATTTAACTTCCTCATTCCCCCAGTGCATGATGGGTAATTTCACCAATAAAACATGACAACAAAAGACTCTTTTGTGGAAAAACAAACAGCCCGTGAACAGAATGACGTGTGTGTATTACCTTCTCCACACAATCGTCAAAAAAGGCCAAGCCAGTGTCCTTATCACTGACGAAGGTGCACTCCTCGATAAAGCGGATGAAGATCTGGGTTTTGGTGAGCTGGGAGTAGAACTTCTGATGGGCACGGTCTCGACTTTTTAAGAAACCTAAAGAAAGCAGGACAAGATAGGCGTAAGATGTGTAGTTTTAATCCAACTGCAGCGACAGCAAATCTCTGCCACTTCTCCTGCCTTCTTATCAATATTTTGTAAACATACTATAAATATTATTGTAGGTAATAAAGATATTCTATATTTAATGAACCCTTCTAATACAACCAATACATTCTTCTAAAGGAACTACTGTACAGTTACTAGAGCAAAACTTCATTGGCATACAGTTAATTTAACTGCACAGTAAGCTTTATAAAATGTGGGAAAAGAGCAGGGAGAGACATTCACTAATAAGATGTAGTTTTGGAGATATTCTAACCCAACTGTCATCAAATTTTTTTGTTTTCTGTCACTTGTTAATGAGAAGAAAATTTAGTTTGTCAACTGGACAAAAGTTAGTTTGGTTGAAGATGTTTCGCAGCTCATCCAAGCTGCTTCTTCAGTTCTCATGTCACTTGTTAATGTCCCTTGTTAATGCTTGAAAAATATGATCCACTATATTATCCACTGCACCTGTCATAATGTTATGGGCCATAAACAATGTCCCATTAGCTAAAAGTTCTAGATGAAGAATGGCTGACTCCTAAAACTCACTCCAATAACAAAAAGCATTAGGAAAAGTGACATAAATTAAGGTTTTAAATTATGTAGACACTAACATTAAAAGTCCTTCTCAAACTACAAACTTTATTATACCATCAGTCAAAATAACCCATCTCTTTTCTTTCCCTCTGAAGTACGGTGTAATAATGTGGAGATTTACACTGCAGAATTGGTCTTAGTGCTTAAATATTTGCTACTATAGACTATTTAAAGCATATGTGAAAATAACTAACATTTATAAATAATTTTTATAAATGGTAATTTGTCATTTTTATGTCACAGAACTACATTCATTCATATACCAGTGTACACAGGCACTGGGGGTGATGTGGGTTAAGTGTCTTGTTCAAGGACACAATGACAGCATTCATCTTTGGGAGCTGGAATCACATCATCGACCTGTTACCACTCAACTAATGTTTATGTCAAAAGGTGGATTCAAAACACACACAAAAAAAAAACATGAACTGAGCTACTGTTGCCCATTTTTTTTATAACTATATCAGCACATAAAATATATTCATAACACAACATAAGAACATAAAAAAAATATTTCCGATGTGGATCAGTAAAGCTTGTCTAAGTCTATCAAATCATGTTACCAAAATTGAGATTTGATTATCGTAAATTATTTCAAAATATCCTCTCTTCTCATCTTGCCCACTCCAGTCTGTACCTTGTAAGTCGTAGAGCGAGTCTGCAGCAGTGGCTTTTTCCGAGGGGGCGGTGGTGATTGGTTTGAGGTAGGAGCGGTAGCCTTTTAAAATAGAGGCCATAAAGCGCAGAAATGCTTCCTGGATCTCCATCTCTAGTGCAGTTTTCTTCTTGTGCCACGTAAAGTCTGCCTCGATGGGCGTCATGTCCACAGCAGAGCCGTCCTGATTGGGCTGTCGCATGGAAACTGAAATAAATAAATAAAAACAAAAAAACATGAGCACTTTAGTTGTCTGAGTAATATGTGTAATGTACAGAGGACTCATGTGGGTATCTGATTCTATTCATGTTGTCCTTGTGCTGTTTTTATATGGTGGTGAGTAAGAATAATTTCTCTGTAGATAATAAAATACTACTGCTGCTACTACTGCTGCTGCTACTACTACTACTTCTACTACTGACTGCAACTTTTACAACTACTACTGCAACTATTACCACTACTCCTGCAAGTGCAACCACTACTAATGCAACTGCAACTGCAACCACTACTCCTGCAACTACTACTACTACTACTACTACTACTACTACTACTACTACTACTACAACTACTACTACAACTACAACTACTACAACTACTACTACAACTACTACTACTACTCCTACTCCTGCAACTACTACTACTACAACTACAACTACTACTGTAACTACTACTACTGTAACTATTACTACTACTGCAACAACTACTACAACTACTGCAACTACTACTACAACTACTACTTCAACTACTACTATGACTACTACAACTACTACAACTGACTGTAGCTGTGACTACTCTTTCTCCTACTACTAGAACGACTACTCCTCCTACTGCTCCTACTACTGC